ATTTTTATGGCTTGATAAAGCCCTAAAATCTAAAAGATGCATTTAAAATCAAGTTCTTGAATTTTCAAGAACGTTTGGTGACGTTGGTCTTTGTAGTGCCCCTTTATTATGTTGACTTGGATCCGAGAATTTTAATAGATGCATATGCATCAAGATGGATTCTTTATTTGAAAATTGAGATGGTTGGTTGAAAACTTAAGACAAAGATGCATTCAAAAAGGTTTGATTTTGTCTTGATATGACTTGTATGGTTGTGTTTTGTTTTAATCGGAAAATCCCAACTCTATGCTTGAGACTTATGAATGCTTAAGCCTTATGATCCTAATTTCATTAGGTATATGGGTTTAATTATACTTATGATTCAGTTTGATGTGTTTTTTTTTTGTTTTTTTTTGGAGTGAAGCATGATGGCAGATCCTTTACAGTGCCATCCACCTATGAGGTGAAACACAAAATTGCATTGATATCTTTTTATATTTCTCAAACAACTTACAATGAAATAATTGTTTTATTACTTTTTTTTTTATGGTGTTATCTTTTTAAAATAGCAAAATAATATTATGCATATAGATGATAATAAAAAAATTATAAAATGTTGTATATACGAATATAAAATAAGTTAATATTTATAATGATTATGGTGATAGAGGATTATGAAGATCAATTAAAAACGAATTAAAAGATCATGTTAAGGATGTCTTGTAGAAACGTAGAGATTGAAATAGGAAGACTAAATAAAAATAGAAAGAAAAATCTAGAGAAAGATAATTATCAAGAAATTTAGCTTATTCTTGACAATTTTCTTATTTTATGCTTCCCTTTCAATTTTACATGTATTGTAAAGGATTTAGTCTTCCTTTCTCAATCTCCAAGATTTTAAAAGCCATCAATCTTTTGTTGGTCTTTCTAATGTTCCATCACTGTGACTATATTCTTGTTAAAATTATTTTTTCTCTCACTATTTTATCTAGAAAATTTGGAATATAATTTTATAATCATTTTATAAAGGAAATATTATTTATTATACTTATTAAGTTTTTAAATTTTTTTGTTTATTATTATGAAAACATTAAATTAATATTCCAAAACTTAACATTGCAATATTTGATTGTTATTTAAAATTATAAATATTATTGTCTTATTTTTTTTTGTAATAATAATATTGATCGTGCATTTTTTATCATGTAAAAAATATTAAATTCATTTAAATGAATATTTTTAAAGTTTTTTTTTTAGTTATATATAGTGTAATTTTTTTTAATGAATGGAACCTTTTATTAGAACCTTTAGGAAATCTAATGCAGGCAAGGTCCACATTAAGTGCATTACAAATAAAATTTGGAACTATATAAAAACATAAAATTCTATGGACAAATTAGAATTATGATCCACTAGTCTATTCACTACTTGATTTGCCTCCCGAGGTACATGCACGTCATTAATATCATGTAAATCAAGTAAGATAATGTGTAATTTAAAAAAATAAAATAATCTTAAATAAAAGTAGTTGCAAAATAAGATGGTAATTATTATTAACAAAGTAAATGATAATTAACTTTTTGTATACGTATTTATTTTTTCTATTTTATATTTAAAAATATGATGGTGGAAAAAAATTAATGTATAATAAAAGGGTTTAATAGCATAGATTAGATAATTTATCATTAATACATTTATATTTTCTTGTCATGATATCCACCCACAAGTAACTTTGAGTATGACAAAGTCTCCAAGTCATATATTTGTGAATTATTTCAAAAGAATGAAATCTCACATTGTTCAAAACTAATAAAACATAAGTATTTATATAATAAAATGTGTGTTACACATTCAAAGAGACAAGAAATATGTAATGAGTTTGTGCACATGAGAATAAATCTTGTAGATTTGTTGCGATGTAAATTATTTAATTTGTCTCCTCTTTGTACATGTAGTTATAGCATCCAAGAATATCCTTATTTTTCAAGCAGTTTTTGACATTTTGTTTAGTTTTTTTTTTTTGAAACAACAAAGGATATTTTATTTATTTAATAGCACTAGAAGTGCAATTCATATTACAAAAAATTCCACTTAGTTAATCGTAATATGAAAATATCATATTCCAGATTACTAGACAATCAAGATTTGTGTTGTACCCCTCAAGTCTAATATGGACCACCAGTATATGTACACATTCCAAACCCTCCTTTAGCCCCTTCATCTTTTCTGTGACTCTATACACGACCCATACCCGCATTAATTGCCATTAGAAGTTTAGAAATTAGACACCTATTAAATATTCTACCAATCACCAACAATCTCACTCATATACCCTTTTATTTCCTCCCTTTTATCCATGACTTCCCCCATCCATTATACAGCCACCTGGGTCCGTTTGCCATTGTGTATAACTGTATCTGAATTGTTTGTTCAGTGATAGCCACCTCCAGGTATCATTTTTTATTTCCTGGATACATTTTTGGATTTGTTTAGTGTTCTAGGAAGTCCTACTAGTGATGTCCATCATCTTTCCCATTGACATCTTGAGTCTTCCTCAAACCAAAACCACTTTAGTGTGTGTTTGAAAATCAATTTACACTCACATTTTTTTTGCACCAAAACACGTGTGTACCCAAACATATAATAACACTCTTTTGCAAACAAATCACATCCCAAGTCATTTTCATTATCTCCCCAAATGAACTTGTGACAAGATTTATCAATATCAACTAGGTGTAGAGGGAGGGGGGCCTAAAGGGGTCATGGTCCCCTCACCCCCCTATTTTTTTTAAAATTTAATTTAAAATTTTTTAACCTCCCAAAATTTATAAGTTGATAAATGAAGATTTTCATGTTAGTTTACACTTGGGAAAAGAAAAAGAAAAAGAAAATATAGGATTGACATATAATGTGATAGAAAGAGATTTTAAAAAAATACAAATAATAATTAACTATTTATAATGTTAAAATATTTACACATAAGTGTTAAAAAATAATAAAATCTTTGTGACACCGTCTACCATACATGTTATAATAAGCACAAAAATTTAAATTTTTAAAACAATTTTTCTAGAAAGAAGTAAATTGAATATATAAACAAGTATTTAAGAGGGATATTACATTACAACTAAAACATAATGATACTCCAACAAGAGCTCCTAATAAAAATAAATAACATCAAAGAATTCATCATCATGTCCTAAACACAAGTGAATAACTGAAAATTCAATTTCTAACTACACCCTGATATCACATCTTATCATAGCACAATCCAACATAAGGTTTAGGCATCATCACTAGTATCATCAACATCATAATAAATCTCACCTACAACAACATACATACAAAATAGATACAAGAAACAAAGAGTGAGAAACATCTCATTCTCGTTCATAACGTAAAATATAATCAAATAATCAAACACAACAAAAATGAGGCAACAAGAATGTAGTAATAACAAGACATAGTGTTAACAATTTATCACAACGAGGTACAACATAGGTAGTAATCTAACATATTCTAACACAAAAATATCAATGATTCCTCACACAGTTCCACTTTACACACATGATGCAATGGACATGAACTACAAAATATACATGTATGTGGTTCTAGTAAAATCACACCGTGGTGCATTGCCATACGACAACACACAAAGTAGCTTAGAAGATCATGTCAGGTCATACCCTTATCGCACTCTACATTAGGAAGAGATATACCAGGACATATCGAGATATACAAATGGGCAAAATTAGGGCTTCCAAACCTAGTTATTCCAAAGGTCATGGTATTCCTAAACTTTTACGCAAGTAAGACTTTTTCTGACAGCGTATTTCCTATCATACCCATCCAAAACAATAATTATGCATAAGATACATGTCACACAATACTCAATATCACATCATTTCATCACAACCACATCCACAACTATATATCCATAATTGATTATCACATGTTCACCTTGTTGCTAAGCCTCAACTTAAACTTCCCATTATATGATTCTCTTGGGATTCGTACACAATAATATACCAATTTGTCAATGCTAGTTCACATCATTCAAATCTCACATATCATAGTTACATACTCAACATACCATACTCAATTATCAACATTAACTAGTACAAGAGTTACATGTTCATAGTTTAAAGATAACAATTACACAACATCATCTAACACATCTCAAGAGAAAATAATTATGAAATCATCTAATCATATGTTAATACATCAATTATAGTCACTAAGAGATCAATATCAAACTAAGCATTTAAATTAATGACTTAATTAGTTTAGCAATATTATTGATAACACATTAATTCTCTAGACATCGTTATTACCAAAACATCTTAAGTCGTTAATCATCAACTCATATCATAATTTATTCACAATTATTTTTCCCTATGATTTCTCTTTCCTAAAACATTGATGTAGAAACATCAAATCATTCATAAGATTAAATACTTGGATAAAGTTATTCGTTATTACTATTCATAAACTGTATTTCCATTCATTATTATTTTGTTCTTAACAATTTCTTTTTTTAATTTTTCATGTCTAATATTTGAATCGATTGTCTTTAATATCTATTTTTATGTGTATTTATTAAGAAATTAAGTTGGCATTTCTAGTATTACATATTATTAATACTATGACAATGCATGACACTTCTAAAAAAATTATATATTTTTAAAACATTATTTATCTAAAATATCATGGTTGCGAAATTGCTTTATACTTATTTTTTAATTTTCTTTTTTAATTTTTTATTCTGTTTATCTTTTTAAGATAGTAAAATAATTTTATTATTGTCTGATTTTTATAATAATAATAATAATAATGTGTTATTCATCATATAAAAATATTTAATTTATTTAAATGAATTTTTTAAAAGGTTTTATAAAATAGTGATTTAATTGAGCTTAACGTGTTAATGCAGTAACAATTTTTTAAAATTTTTTTTTTCAGTTACAAAGAAAGGAAGATAAAATAATAAATAATACGCAACATTTTTATTTCGTGACCCGTGAATTAAAACAACTGTGAATCTTATTTATCAGCTATTGAACATAAACAACTAGCAATATCCATCACCAATCATGGTTGAACTCCTTCTAACTGTCTCTAGCAAGGTAAATAAACATGATCCAACCAAACTAAACATGGCTTCGGACAATCTCTAATCTCTCTACAGTACCAAAATACAAAAGAAATGCTCACCATAAAATCTCTCCCCTACCAAAGGCCAATATTTGATAAAATACTTCAATTTACATTTTACCTGCATCATGCGACATTCTAACGGACCTACCACACATAACCAACAGTATTGTACAAAGCCAGAATGAAGCAACAGTGGGATATCCAAGGCAGGTATTATTGAACTTGTGACATACAACAGATCCCCACTGTCTAAGTTATTGTCATTTCAGTAGCTTTAGGATGTCCTATCTGATGATGAATTAAGATCATTTTTATCAGAATTGAGATTGATATTGGATTGTGATTTGTCAGCTGATGCCACATCATTTTGCTGATTCTCGTCTTTCTTTGAATTCAGAAACCGACCACCACATCCTCTTGGTCTTCTCAGTGCATGAATGTGTCGAGATTCGTGCAAGTATGGCTGCAAGATTTCTTGTGAGAACAAGTACCTCCAGAGTGGAAGCGAAGCAAGCAACTTATAACGATAGCAACACGAGTTTTGGTGTCATCAAAAAGATGCACAGAATGACATACCTTCCTATTCCTTGTAACTTTCTTTTCTGATTCAGCTTTTGCACGGGATTGTCTGCGTCTTAATATACCACGATATTGCTTTGCATTGACAAACACCGGCTCCTCAACTGCATCAGTTGGCAGAGGAACACCAGCTTGCTGAATTCCCATTAACTGAAGATGGACCTGGCACAGGAAACGGTTCAATAATTGGAAGATCAGAAAAGGGCACATGAAGCCACCACAATATTACTAGAATCAACATTGAAGAATTAGAGCAAACCATTGGCTGTCCACTATAGGCTTGTGGGGGATAAGTTTGGGTATCATAGGTTGCAAAGATGCTTCTATAATAAGGATCTGGATATGGATATACAGCTGGTACCTTCAATTAGACATGAAAGTAACATGAATAAATCAGTAAAATGCATAAACATTTTACATTCTAAATTTAAATACCAAGAACAATACCGGTGCAAACAGTGATTCTGAACAAACTATTACATCACATCTAAATAACAACGCACCAGTACTTGCTCAGGAAATTATTCATTTACCTTCAATAGCCATGAGCCAACGACAAAAAACTCTGGTTTCTTAAAAAACAACCTTAATTAACCAAACACAACTTATAAAGAATACTTATTTATAAGAAAATCTTCAGATTGCAATCTCATTATTATTATTATTTGCCAGACTAGAAGACTCGAGTCTTTGCATGCCAAAGTAGGTACCAATTAAGAAATCCAGTTATTAACTATTACAAGATCGATAAATTTATGCCATCCATCACTCCTTTCATATAATAGCTACTTTCAAATTAGCTTGTTGTGAAACATGGGGAATGCCCACCTTCACGGATAACAAAAATAAAAAATGTAAAAATGCCAATTTATTCATGAATTAGAGGAAGAATAAACCTGGGGAAATTTTTCATCATGATTTGCTAATATTCAGAGTCAATTTGCTTCAATGACAAAACAACAGCAATGTGTGTCTATCTTATACCTACAACAGGCAAGACATGGAGGATGGCATCCAATAAAACATTCCTTAGTATTTCTGGAAGTTATTAAATATTAGAACGCTAATTCAATAAGGACTGATGGTGTCAAATCATTGAAGAAACATATTTTGATATTTTAAGAAAAAATCAGAAGAAAACCGAAGAAACTTAAAGTTCATACCATTGCATGCCCAGTTCCAAGCTGGCTAGGTGTTGCATACTGTACATTGACAATCTGGTTACTAATACCTGGATCCGAAATTCCATTTGCAGATGGGGACTGCATTTGGGATTCTGACTGCTGCTGCCCATCATCTTCATTATCTGGATAAACATTTTGCTACATAAGTTCAGACAGTACATTTGTGCTTGGGATGAAATGAAGGAACAAATTAAACAAACACCAAACTAATACTTTAAGGGGTAACTGATATTTTCATCCCATACCATGAGACAAACAAAATAATAACAGGGAAATGGATAAAGCAGAGACAAGAAAGTTGAGTAATTACAACAATATGTAGATGGATATGAATAATATCTAAAGACTAATATAGTCTAAATCCCTTTGCAATCCACACCCTCCAGCGAGGCAGAGAGAGAGGAAAAAATCAAATAGACATTTAGCATACAATACATGAATACATTCATAGTTCTTGGTACTTACAGTTCACTTTCAGTCTTTTACATGTTAAAGTTTTATAAGGTTCTACTCTAATGAACAACAAAGCAATAACAATATACTGACATATTTTGTAGGTCAGAAGGGAAGCCAGTGCAGGAGTTGGTTAAAAACAAAAATGGTTGCAGGATTAGAGGAGTACGAGACTTACAAATGTTGAAATAAGTTTTGAAGTTAAAATAATGAAGTAAAATAAGATACTTGAAAATTTAAAGATAGTGTAATATGAAGCCAAGAGTGAAAACTAAAAATATAATAGCTAGGATATGTTGATAGCAGTCCCTAGGCAACACATTAAAACAAAGATGCTCCTCAGAAAACCAGCAAACACAATTACACACAACATAGTTGCAAAACAAGAAAAAGATGAGGCATAAATCATTTTATGCAGCTTCTGTGAAAGAGTATGAGTTCAATGACTTACATGATTAAAAGTTACTTGGGCAAACCCAAAAGATGGGGAGCTAAAGATCTATGATATTGAGTGGTCAATCTCATCTCATGACAAATAGTAATTTTCGTAAGGCAACCAATACAGAAAAGGTAACCCCCAGTGCAGTTGTCTATGAATTGTAGCCCAAGTTTAAAAGTTTATAGAAAGTAAGAAACATGAGTTTTTATGTAAATAAAGAGCTTAACTTTCTTGTCACCAAAAAAATAAGAACTTAACTTTCTGTTTCTGAAAATTATCATTTTTTTTCTTTAAGGTACTCTTTTTTACCATTTCTTATGATTTTCACAAAGGAATAATTTCATCACACATAAAAAACAACATTAAAGAAGATTTTACTGCACTCAACTGTAGTTATTCATCTTTTTCTCTTCAACTTTACTAATTTCTCCTGAATAGAAATTTCTCCATTAATAATTCCATTAGACACAAAAACACCAATGATATTGCTCCGTATGTTGTTAAGTAAACTTGGGATATGCAGGTACACATTATAAATGGAAAATTTACAGACAGTAATATAATACATTGGATCAAGAATTTTGTTCATGTAAAATACCAGTAAGGTCGTGAGCAGAGGTCATGTTTCCTGAAGCACGGAACACTGTCCTAATCTGGAACCAGAACAGAGATTATTAACAAAACTTAGGAATATTTCAGCTACATGTTATACAGATAAAACAAAGCAGTATAAACAGCAATCAAAATTAAAACACCAGAAGCCAACAGTACAGTTCTTCAACTGAATATATATATTAGCTATACTATATGTTAATATATCCATAAAGCCAGAAATAGAGACAAAAGCATATATCAAAGATGGGATGGACTATAGAGATGAGATCACAAATAAGAGATACAGACAGAAAAAAAATGATTGAGAGAATATAACAAATTTGCTACTATGTGTTATAGTTGTTCATTAGCTCTTTTAGCATAAGTAGAAGGAATTAAAATATAAAGGAAACTTAACTATAGATAAAAAAATATCAGATAAAGGAAAAAATATAAAAAGATACAAGAACATCCAACAGATCTGTTTTCTCAGGCTTTCAAAGAATTCATGATGCACCTATTATTGTTAGCCACATATCCAAACTGGAAGTAGAACACAATTAGAAATATATTGATCATTTGATCTTGGGTACTTTGCACATGCTATCAATTTAGGGTTGATATAAATCACAAGGAAATTATGTTAGGCAATACTACACAGCCATTAAGCAAAGTATGCAACCACTTTGTGGACAGAGGATCCAAATCAAAATTTACACAAACTGAATTTAGTATTCCAGTGAGCGGTGAGCCATGTGTCTTCATATAGGCAGGTTATGTTCTCATGCAATTTATTGCAACTTGCAAGAAGTTATTAATTCAGTTAAGTACTAGAAAATCTTAGTAAACATATATTAAAAATAATCTTAATATCCAAATGGGATCGGAGGATCATACTGCATCCAGTTTCTTATCAAAGATCCATCTTTTGACCAATTTTAACAATGTTCTAAAATCTAAATGTTAGTACCAAAATTCTTCAGATCATTCTGTGAATATTATCGCTGACTAGTTTTGTGGGTACATCATGTTCCAACACAACACCACCAAGTCAAATTCTTATAGCTTGTAGAAACTCATTTACATTTATCGTGCATGTTAACAAAATGGAAGCATAGAAAACATTTACTTTTACATTTATTATACACTGCAACAAAATGTAACGTACTATCCTAATATTTATGTTGGAATGATGGTTAGTACTGCAAAATTAATGCTCCAGACATTTAGCCTGGGTCATGGGTGTGTGTGTTAGATCCCATAGAAGTAGCCCTCATATTGACTTGGCAATCTTCCCACCTTGAGTTAGCTATGGCATTTATGCTAGGCCTAGTCCATTCCCATTTCTAACAGTAACAAACATAGTGTTATTCAAGTTAGGTTCCACAGGTTTAAAATAGTAAGAGTCATTAGATTTGAAATTAAAAACAGTGGGTACTTCAGGAACCTATGTAATTTGCACTATGATCTAAATTTTTTCAAACAATCATAGGTGTATTCAAGTGAAGTTCACAATGTTTAAGTGATATCCAACTTTCCCATTACGTAACAGACTTTGAATCCCAAGTAACCCACATGTAAAATGAAGAAAAGATAGCACCAGAAAAAAAGGAAGTCGCGAAAAATTTAGCATGGCTCAACATACATCAAGCTATAGGCATACGTCCATGAGAGAAGCACACAAAATTCTCTCTGATCAAGGAAGATTAAAAGGTGTAGCCACTCAACACTCAAAAGCAAAGAGATTTTCGAAGATAATTGAAAACCAACAAACAGAATAAGAAATTCGAAAATGAGGAAAAATAGGGTTTAGAGATTGGAAATTAACCTTGCAATTGCAGCAGTTGAATTGGTGGTGTTGTGGGTACACAGGTACTACGCTGGACCCTCCCTATCCACACCAATTCGCAATTCCCTCAGATCCTTTCTTTCTGTGTGTTTCTTCGATGTTCGCCACACAATATTCTCTTCTCTTCAAAAACAACTTTTTTATTATTCTGCTTCAAAACAATACCAAACAAATACTTTGTTAGGTCTTACCTCAATTGAAAATATATGACCTCGTTTAGCTTATGTTATATTTGCCTTGTCCTACATTAAAACATAGCCTAGCCTACATGTATACTTTAAGGCTTATTTTGAATTTAGAAAAAAATATATTAAAATATGTTAGGTTTTTACAAAAATCAAATCTAAATATACTTAAGGTTTAACATGATATTCTCGATGATGATTTATTTTGAAAACATTATATCTTTGTTTTTATAAAAAAGCTTATGTAAGATTGCTTATTCAATATGTCCTTATACACTTTTGTTTATCTTTTATGAGTGAGTCATAATTCAATACGAGCTTAATGCCAACCCAAAAAAATATTTAATTTAATAAATTAGTCCGATCTATTATATTTACATTCAATTCATTATAAATTAAACTAAACTAGTTGAATCATCTTAAAAAATAAAACTTAAATGATAAGAGATTTTGAGTAGTGTATACATGTTTTAAGCTCAAGTTTGGTTCCCATCACTAACCATTATGCTATTAAGATTTAGTAATAATCTGTTTTAAAGTAAAACTAAATGAAAAGAGATAGAAACGAATCATATAATGCTCATAGCATTTTAATGTGACCTATGCCTAATCAACAGGACCATGACAAATTGAGAATAGCATTCACTTTTTATTTTGAACAATCAACATCCTTAACTCTCAACATTTAGTTTTAGGTCTGCAAGTCTTTAAAAGTGGGCCTCAAAAGCCCAACACAAACATAAAGATGCGTTCATGGCTCAATTCAGGAATTAAAAAGAAAATTTAATTTTGATTAATATTACTATAAACGAACAAGGTTCAAATAATGGGATTTAAATTTGTGTGCAATGATCAAGGGAACGTAAGTAATGTTACAAAATAAATTCTATTCTCCAATATGAGTTATGGTCCTTATGGAGCATCCATAAAAAAGCAGTTCTATTCATAAATTAAAAAGATGAACAAAAAATAGTTTATCAATTTTAAAGTATAAAGTATAAAGACTAAAATCAAATTAACAAAAAATAAATAAAAATTCATCCATAAATTTAAAATATAAAGACTAAAATCCAGTTAACAGAAAAATGAAAGGACCTAAAACACATTTTATCCATAATAGATTAAATTTAACATTGAGCTAATTAAAAAAAGTAACACCGTACCACAACTAAAAAAATAATTTGATACATTTACATAAACCAAACAAAAAAAAATATCATTAGCTCATAGCTTTTTATTCCAAACTCGTTGGATGAAAATTGTCTCTTTAACTTTTTTTTTGGTCCAAAAAAAAGTAAAATAGCATTGTTCTGATTTATAAAGCAAATTGAGAAAATACTTTTTTTTTATATTTTAAAAAAAATGAAGTAAAGTATGTTTTAGGTTCTTCAAGATTTTTTCAAAATCGGGTTTATCCCCTAAAATAGTTGTTTTTGGTTTGTATATTTTTTAAAGTCTAATGGATTTCATATCTTACAAGATGGAAATGAAATATCGAAGAAGAAATTAATCATATTACATAAATATAAAACCAAAATCATCATTTTTAAAATGTAAGGTCTTAAACCAAATTTTATCAAATGAGACTTAAAACACATCTTACCTAAAAAGGAAAATCTAGCTATTTCCCAATAGATCAATCCTATTATCATGTAATTATTATACATTTAAAAACAAAAACTTACTATTTATTAAGTAATTTTTTAAAGACTAAAGCGTGTATGGCCCACTTTACTTCACGTTGGGCCGGCCTTGTACTTATATGGCCCACTTTGTTCTCTATTTTGGTGATGTACTAAAAATATCAAAATGAGGCAAAAGTTGAATACAATCCATCTCCCATGAACCTACTTTGGTGGATGAGCTAACAAAATGTACATATACAATATTATTTCAAAATATATTATTCCCAATACAATTTTTTTTTTATAATTTTATTATTATTATTTTCTCCTCATCAAATTATTCATTTTATCTCACAATTTTCTCTCTCTCTCTCTCTCTCTTTTCTTTTCCTTATCTCACTCTTATTTACAAAAAAAAAAAAAAAAATTGTACAAAATTGAGTCACAAATACAATTTTATCTTCTGCATGCATATCCTCAACAACCAAAATTTTATGGTCCAGCTACCTTTCAACCCTAACAACATTTCAAAGGCAAGCCAAACCAAGTGAATGAATGGTAGGTTGCACTTTAAAGTAGGTGCAAGTGCAAATAAAAAGCATAGTCATCATCATCAACACCAACATTCCCTCAGTTTGCAGGGGTTTCTGTTCTCTCATATCAACATCCATCACTTTAGAAGAGGTTGATTGACCACCCCATGTATGATGTATCCCTCCATGCATACAAACAAGGAAACATCATCAAACACAAAATGCATGGCAGCTTTAATTATGCCTTTCCATGTGTTATATAATGAGGATTATACCATAAAATATAATATAGGTTTCTGCATTATAACAAAACCAAACGATGCTCCAATGTTTGAGTAATCGTTACACAACCAACAATGATGATTGAATATTTGAGTGTTGTGTCTCGTTCTTTGCTTTATTTTTTTTTTTTTTTGTAAATTATAAGTTTGTTTCTTGATGCCAATGACACGGTTTTCTAAGCAAAAAAAGAAAAGAAAAACACGAAAAAAATATTATGAATCGATGTGTCATTATTGAATTAATAAACATACACCGAACTATTACATTTACTACTAATTTTGATCAAATATACAATTATGAATCTTAAACTAATAAACAAATATTTTAGTGAATTTTGAATAAATTTATTTGAGTTTTAAAAATTACAATTTAAATATAACAATATTATTCGGCTTGAAAGTGTTTTTTTTTTTAATTTATATAATAGATAAGTTCAATCATAATCATATAAAATTAATATTTTAGCATGGATAATATACATATTGCATATACCTGCTTATCCTCGCCTTTCTAAACCACTTATGTTTGTTGAAAAAAAGGCAGCAGGAAATGTCGTATGTGACCAGTGAAACTTCATCTTTCAACTGAGAGGCAAGCCGAGGTGTAGTTGTGTTCCATGGGAGCCTGTTCTAGTACAGTCCTCGTAATAGTTTCAATGAAATGACTATTCCGTCTAACTAATAGTCATTTTCTAGACCAGTTTCCTTCTAGGTCGTTACACTGAAGGTAAGCCCTGTAAGTTGGAGTGATAGGTTACCTATAGGTGGGGTTATACAGCAGGATTCTTAGCAGGAAGTCAAATCCCGTGATCAAGCCCCGCAGGGGGAAAGAAAATGAATCTATTGAACTCACACTAAGCAATAAGTCTTATACCTCTTACTTACAGAGAGTGAAGTGAACCATTTGTCCTATGGTTCACGAACGATAAGAAGAGTGACTTTCTCTTCTCTCAGTTCCTCTCTTCCTTTCTTTAAAATGAAATTTCACATCCCCTGTATTCTTTTCTTATCCCTGAGTCTTTGATCAAGGAGTGGCTCACTGCCCAAAACTGCCATGGAATGGAGTTTTTTTGTAGGAGTCTTCGGATTTAGGAGTAAGCGTAGGTCGAAATTTCTTTTCTTCCTCAGTTGTCGAGGAGTCCGCCTTTAACGAAGAGGAATGAGCTCCCCTTAGCAGACCTGTTAGATAGGAGCCCTTTTCTCCAAGAGCAGGTTTTTCTTGCTCACTCGGTAACTCGATTCGGGGATGGTATCGGAGAAAGTATTGAGAACTTTCTATCTCCTCTTTTTCAGTCAGGGAATTTCCACTCTTTGAATCTGTAGCGCAACGAGGTCTCAACGAAAGGAGCTAAGGAGCGACTAAAAAAAAAACCTCACTCGAGGAAAGGAGTAAGCTATATGCCAGGAATCTAATTTGGTGCTTAACTGGGAGAAGTGCCACTTTATGGTAAGAGAAGGTATTGTCCTTGGTCATCAAATTTCTGCTAAAGGTATTGAGGTAGATAGAGCAAAGGTAGAAGTAATTGAACAATTACCTCTTCCTGTGAATGTGAAAGGGGTTAGAAGCTTTCTAGGTCATGTAAGATTTTATAGGCGGTTTATCAAAGATTTTTCTAAAATAGCTAAGCTTATGACTAATCTACTTGAAAAAGAAGCCCTTTTTTTTGTTTGATGATGCATGTTTACAAGCATTCAACACCTTTAAGAAACAACTTATTTCTGCTCCCATAATTACAACACCTAATTGGTCTTTACCATTTGAAATTATGGGTGATGCTAGTGACTATTCTGTAGGTGTTGTATTAGGACAAAGAAAAGAAAATTTGTTTCATGTTATATATTATGCTAGACGTGTGTTGAATGAGGCTCAAAGGAATTATACCATGACTGAAAAAGAATTTCTTACTATGGTGATTGCTTTTGATAAATTCAGACCTTATCTTGTTGGCTCTAAGGTCATTGTTTATACTGATCATGCTGCTTTGAGATATTTGTTTGCTAAACAGGATGCCAAGCCACGATTGATTCATTAGATTCTCTTACTACAAGAGTTTGATTTGGAAATTCGAGATAAGCAAGGGAAGTACTAAATATTTATTATATATAACTAAAATTTATAATAATTATTATACATATAAATACTAAACTTGAGTATATAAATTATATTTTAAATTTATATATGTAGATATTTTTAATTATATAAAATAATATTAGATTTATGATAAATATTTTATATAGTGACATGATATTAATTTTAAATATGAATAACTTATTTTAAAATAAAAACTTATTTTATAAACAAATATAATATATAAAAATTAAATTATATAAAAAAAATTCTAAAAAATTCTAAAAATTCTCTTGTCAAAGAAATTTTTTTTCAAAATAATCTTGTGCAAAAATTTTTTTTAACCACGATATTAATATAGAGTATCTCTAATAAAAGTAGTGACTAATTTATATATAAAAGTTATGCTAACCAATGTTGATACTCTCACACATAATATATATAATCATAATGTTTAATATATATGAGCGAATTAAAAAAATTAATAATAAGTTTAATAATTATAAGATTCAATTTCTTTTGTATGTGACAATCTTTTCCTCCACTCTCAATTTTTATTTTATGATTTGTATACATAGTTTAGCACTACTTAGAAGTTGTTTGAAGAAAAGGTTGATATATTTTGACATGTTAAATATTTTTTGAAGAAATTAAAAAATATGTTCTTTTACTTTTTTGATTAAATGTTTCTCCTACACTAGCTAGTAAGTAGTTGTAGTTTGTGAAAATTTTGAAATTTATAGCTAAAAAACCATCCTAACAGAACCTTAATGAGTTATTGTTACATGAGAATTTATAAGAAAAATAAAATTTATTAAAATAATATAAAAAGTTAATTTATGAAAATTACAAGTTACTTTTGTAAGTTTATTACATAAGTTCGTATAAGTTATTCCAAAGTAAAGTTGTAAATAATGATCAAAAAAGTAAACAATGTAAATAATATAGATATAGTATTTTTAATTATGATTTTTTTATCTAATATTAAACAAATAAGGTATGTTTAAACTAATTTTGTAATTTATTTTTACAATAGCATACGATTATATTTTAAATAAAGAAAATGTTTGGCCAAGTTTTTTCAAGATAGAATTCGGCCACTCAGAGATATAAAGTGATGTATTTAGTTGTGATTTCATGCTTAAGTTAAGATCCAACTTCAATCTCTCATAAAATAATACTATGTGTTAAAGTGCTTACAATTTTGATATTTAAATGCTTTAATGTAAGAAAAGAGATGATAAATATGTGAAAGTAAATAAAATGATGTTATTTTATATAAAAAAAATTGAGTGAAAGTATGCAGATGTAATTGTGTGACCAACATCAAATTAAATAAACTTACAAAAAAAAAAAAAAACTTTGGTCACATTATTAGAAAAAGTTAAATCTCAATGGAACGAGCTATAGTTGTATTAAATTCTTTTAATGACTGTATAAAATGCTTGATGTGATGATAATATATATACAAGGAAAATTGATAGTGCCTCAAACACAAATCTAATTCAAAATTAATTAATTTGATTTTGATGTATTGTTTGTATAATTTGTTGGATTATTATTATTCAATGATTTCTTGACACGTTATTTAATAATGTATAACATATAAAAATAATGGTAACGAAAATCCATTTCTTTAACATGCAATTTACGATTGTTTATAACTTTCATAAGATTTTACGAAGAGCTACGTTAGTTAGTGAGAAAACTATTTTTTATTTGGTCACATGTAAAAATTCATACGTTCATGTCAATTGTTACAAGAGATGAATCATGATGGATCAATTTGTTTTTGTTATTTACAAGAACACCGATCGACCCATGATGAATCATGAAAGCGTAGGTAAGTCAAGAGTGGAATAAAGCCCTAGACATCTTTTATACATGAAGCATATAATCTGCAAAAAAAAGAAAAATGTTTATGATGACACTGAAACAAACGTTGTTGAACTAGGAGTAGTGTATATATCTTCGGTTCATGGATTTGATCTTTTTAATCCATATTCGAATATGTCTTTGCCCTGTTACTTTTTCTTTTTTTCTTATCTTTTATACTATTCCTTCCTTAATCCTTCTATGACTTTTCTTGACAAAAACAGGAGTAAAACCCGGCAACATCTTCGGAATTTTCCTTTGGAATTTCTTGTCGCATTCTACCTTTACTCTTTTTTAGTCTTTCATCTTCTTGGTAGTTTCCCACTTTCATTCTGGTTTTGGCGCAAATTCTTTCTAAATTCTAACATTTTAATTGCCAAGACAATTCCTATGAATTTGAATGATATAAGAAAAAGCACATACTTAATTTTACTTTTACTTTGAATCTTGATTTTAGTATATTCGTCCAGCTGGTAATCTTTGGTGCACCTCAAAAAATTACTCATTGTTACTAAAATCCAAAATGAATTGGTTGTCAAACAAAAGAAACCTGAATCAAATCAAATCACAAACCATGTAAGTAAAGTAATAAATTTATCGAGTTAGATAATAATTATTCTATTAAAAAAAATAAAAAAGTGATTTTTTTTATTTTATAAACTACAGGAGAATGCTTTATCCAAGTAACAAGAAAAAAAGGTGAGTGAGAGTAGTAATAAAAAGACAAAGGAGATAGCGGCGAGTTCCTCCGACACAGACACTGTTTTTCTTTGACGCTAATTCCCAAAACGACACCGTATTCTGCGTCACACTTCTTCTCTCTTTATATACGTTTCCTCTTCCACTCTCACTTCAGATAATTCTTCAATCTTCAATCGCCATGGCCCTTCTCTCCGCCGTCTTCGCCGCGCTCTTTCTCGCCGCCGCCTCCTCCGCCAGGGACCTCCGCCCCTCCGACCACGGCCTCACCTTCCAGACGTTCTCGCCGGCGGGGCCGCGGTCCTCGCCGGAGATGCGCTCCTTCTTCAACAGCGCCAACTCCTCGCCGTCCATGTCCTCCTCCTCGGACGTGGCGCTGCCGCGCGCCATGGACTCCGGCGACGCCTCGCCGCCCGCGTGGTGGCGCCCCGCCGCAGGCCACGACGGCATCGGGAAGGCGCTGACGGTGGCGAGCGTGGTGTGCGGCGCGGGCGGCGCGGCTCTCCTGGTGGCCTCGGCGTTCATATACCTGTTGAAGCACCGAAACCGAAAGCTGAAGCTAAACGCAGCGTTTTGCGGCGAGAAAGGAAATCGAGGCGAAAACGATGACGAGGATAACAACAAGCTGCAATTGGTGGTACGCGATCCTTGAGGCATGAGTTATGAGTTATGAGTATTGTAGTTCGGTTTTACATTGCTTCTCACTTTCTCTATGATATTCCACGTTGCATGTAAATTAGGCTATAGTACTAGTAGATATATATATATATATTTCTTTATTTATTTTACTTTTCATCTTCTTCTGCTTCTTTTCATCAACATGTTGGTGAGTATATCCTTTAAGAAAAAAGACTGAATGAATGATCCAGTTTTATGTTGGTGCATTCTTGAAAGAAGAAGGAACATGGGTTGTGTAATGTGTAATATAACTAGTGCAAATGTGAGGCTCGTGTCCCCATCACCTGCATTTATAATAAACTAAAAACACAATTAAGAAATTATCTCTTTGATTTTGAAATATACTTTTAAAATGCATGTGTTATGTGTATGAGATAAAAATAAATAGATTATACGTGGTGTTAATTTTTCTTTTTCAAATTATAAAATTTTGTAATAAATTATAAGTTGTCCACCATGGCTTCGCAAAACACAAAATGTGATCACTTTCAACAACCGGCTTCAACAAAGACCAAATACAAATCTTCGTACAATATTTTCCACTCTTATTTTTATTTATTAAATAAAATATTATAAAAATATATATTTTTTGCTATCAATTTAGTATTGGGTTAGCCTATGTTACTATAAACTTTTCTCTATTGAAAATCAAACTATTAGCATATACATTATAAATTTTATGTTAATAGTATGATATATTATGTTATCAAACAATTTTGTTAATATAAAATATTGGTATAAATTTTCAATACATCAAATGTTAGTATTGTTTATTATACTATTAATATATAAACCTTCAAAGTCTATATTAACAGTCTTTACACAAAACCTATATTATCGAAAGCAATTCTAACACTTGATATTTTTGTTGATTTATAGATGAAACATTTTTATAGTAAGCTTAATTATATATATATATATATATAATTTAATATTTTCATAAAATATTATAAAACTAATATTTTAACTTGTACAAACTACATTTTCATTTAACATAATTATTCTAACTTTTATATATAAAATTTTAAAAAAAGAAGCATAACATTACTTTTTAAAAAAATAATAGCATCAAAATCATCAATCATTTGAAATTGATCATGAAACCTAGGATCATCAATTTTGCGACAATTTGAATGAAAGTTAAAAGTAATAGTCTTGAAATCATCCTTGACTTGGATCATCTTGCTGTCCACCCAATCGCCAAACAAATTATATTAAAAACATTGCAACTACATCTTTTACCCTCACAGCATGTCAACCCCATTTGGTCAAAACTTAAGGAGTATATACAACAACATATATGATGCCATCCCAAAATTTCTTTGCACTCTTTTTTTTTTCTTTCTGATGCGCCATTGATTTGGAATTCGTGTTCCCCAATTCAACCCAAGAATTCTTCGTTCAATATTACAGATAAAGTTTTTCTGTTATCCAACAAGGAATGTAAATGAAAAGCATTAGTTGATAAAATCATATAAAATGAATGGCCAAATCTAATTGGCTTGTAGTACATGTTTGATAATGCAACTTAAATTTCAAGAAATAATCATTTTTTTTAAGAGAAAAAAATGTTGTGTTAAAAAATGAAATTAGAATTTAACTCACGGTTATAAAATTAACTTGTAAAGTTATGTACAATTATGATCATTTCAATTTTACTGGTGGACGTATGCTATCTATTGGAAGATTAATTAACGGTAATTTACCTATTTAGCAAGAGGTAGCCACTCGAGTTCTAAGTCTAATTCTCCAGATTCGACGTTCTGGAGCTTGATGGTCATCTCTTGTTTAATCTTACCATCAACAATATTGACTATGCTATCATCTATAAGCGCATTGTTATGGGATTTCAGCCATTTTCCTATCTGCATATCATCAAACATACTAGCATCTCCAAATGAAATTGCAGATGAAATCAGAGGCTGAAGATCAATATCTGCTTCCCCCATTATATCATCAGCTGAAAACATGTCATAATCAAATACATTCTGCAATGCAATGTAGCCCTCCATTAGGACAAAGTGCCATAATCAAATACATTCTGGTAAATGCCAGAACTACTTAAGCAATGAGACAGGAAAATGAGAAGAGTAACAACAATAGACATGTTAAAAACTTACTTGAGAATTATAGTTCTAAGGCTATATATAAATATTTTATTAGCTCCATCTAATAGATGGCACTTTTCCTCTTTGCCTAGCATGGGAGAAAATGCATACCATGAGGTGGGGATTTTCTTATTTCAATCTAAAAAATTCACTTTTCCTTTCTACAAAACCCTTGGAATCGATTACAAATTATTGTCTCATTAGAAGATGGTTGCTGAAGAATAAAATTTGATTTCCAATGTACAGAAAGAATATGAGAGAAGGAAGAATTAAAGAAGGTTTGGTTGAGGTATATATTATATGGATTTGGTTTTAAAGGTTTGGTTGAAGCATTTTCCCTGTACTTTTATATCTTATCATGCAAACTTAAACTGATGATGAGATAGACCATCCGTAATTCTATTAGAAATTCTTAAAGAGGTTGGTGGATGGTTTTGGACTTAAAAGAGACCGTGCTTTGCCTTAATGTAAACTTTCTTGAAAACAAAAAATAATAGTAGAATAGATCCGGAATTTGTTTCCATTTTCTGACAAGACTAGATGAAATTCAAACTTACCAAATTCAATAGTCCAAATTGCCGAGGAACAGACAGCATAAGTTCCTCATTCCAGACTGGATTCAAATTACTCTTCACCACAGTTGTCTGAACAGTCTGAAGGAATATCACCAAAATCAATTCAGAAAGAAAATTATCAGCATCTACTATTACTACTCTTCAATTAAAAATAATAGAGAGAAAAAGTTTCCCAAGAATATATGCTGATGAGAAGAACCAACCTGTTGGCCAAGTTTCAAGATAACATATGGATCACTTGTCAACATATCTCTGATAGCTAAATCCGTGCCTTTGATCACTTTCACCTTCAACGTTCCAAGCTTTCCTTCCTATTTTAACCATAAATATCAGTCAAATATCCAAGGAAACCACCCATGAAAATTACTTAGTCGCATATACTAACTAACAAAGTAGCAAAATTAGAATTATCTTGATTAGAAGGCTTTCATCTGGTAGAACATCAATTTAACTAACTGGAAATATAGTTCACATTGATATGCTAACACAGCATTTGGTCAACAAACAAATACATCTCCATTCAAAGGAACTAAAATATAAAATATAATTACCGTGTTCTGTGAATCACTAGTACTTCGTAAACTATTCACAGTCCCTACTTGGGAAACATTTGATCGAACATTATTGCCTGTTCCCGACACAATGCGCAAACTAGATTTCAAAAATTCTTGACGCTCATACTTTGATCTGCAGTAAAAATTGCGAAAATTAAAATGCCACTCTTAACTTAACATTGATCATATTGGTATCATAGATGATGCTACCATCAGCAATATCCCAACGCCAAGCTGATTAGTCAATGATCAACCTAAGACAATGGATTGCAATTAAAAGAGTAGCAGAAAAGCACAGAAACTTTTGAAAATAAATTACTCAGAAAAGCCAAATGGTAAAAAAAAAAAAAAAACTAGAAAAAAAAATTGCAGTGAGAGCACAAAAGTTCATATCATTAGCCTAGAGTTTTATCCACTTTGTGGTGACCATAAATATAATAGACTCATAAAACAATACCAATGATGCTAAGAATGGTAGATGTACAATGTAAAGTGTAAATGAAAACATATCTAACCGGATGAATTTTGTACGCTGCTCATGACTGGCATCTGGTCCAGGTTTTGTAAATCCTTGTGGAAGATAAGCCTCATAAATTGAATTAGCAGAAGAATTTCCTCCAACTTCCATCATTGCATCTAGTTCCTCATCTGACCATTCATCCAATGTCACAGACAAAACCTGAAAGATATAATGTCACAAGGTTCTTAATGCATGACAAGACAAACATAAATAAGTTAAGCACACTATTAACTTGATAGACACAACTCATTGAAAAGAAATTAGTGCATAATATGATAAAAATAAATAGCAATTTTGTTGATCATACATCTTTTAAAACTTCCAACTCAATGACTGTGGCCATCAAAATAGCAAGTTTATTTCTTAGCTAAGAGTTACAGAGATTCCTTTCTTACTACTCACTTATTACTGCTAGAACATGTGGCTAGCACTCAAGTAGTTGGTTTAAAAATTCACTTGCAACCCTGTATCTAACATAGAAGTTGACAAATTCAGCATTAAAATGACCTAGTTTTCCACATTTTTATTTTAAATCATGTAAAGAAAAATACGTATATTTGATAATAAAGACCAAGAGAAACTCGAATAACACAATCCAGTGGCAGAGGAGCAACACTAAATTGAAAGTTTCCATTTCATAATAAGACAAGAGAAGAGATACCTTGTAATAATTTATCTATTAGACCTTATTTTACATTCCTACCAGTCTTATTCAGTTACCAATGAAAATTACAGAAAGACTTGTGATTACAGAAATATTACAGGATAAGTAAATGGTACATTGAAAATAAAGCCTTATTCACAAAGTTTTCATTTCTAATCTCAGATCACTTATTTTAGTTTTTCTTTTGTCAAAATTTCACAAGGTATCACATCAGGCTGTGGAATCTAAGAGTGAGGTTGCTCGGCAAACAGATACAACATAAGGAAGTAAAAATGCGGCAAAAATAAATAAATAAATGCACTGAAACACAAAATAAAGTTCGCCGGACTATTTCATGAGTGGTTGATTCTTTTCTCATCAAATTAAGTTGAATCCATTCCAAAAAATAACTAGCCACATATATAGGCTAAGAAGGAACTCGGTTTAAATACTCCTTAGTAAAATGAAAATCTTCTTTCTTAAGTAAACTGAACCAGGAATACCTTGGATATATGAGAGCCAAGACTTCTGTGCACACCACAGCATTTTAAGCACAGAAAAACTCCAATATTGGCCGACCTGAAAAAACAGTTAGAAAAATGAATTCACAACAGAGGTAACAAGCATTCTACATTTTTCATTATAGCAAAATTCATGTAGCTAGTTTTCCTACAACTTAATCACAAAGATGCTTTATAAATCCTCCCCAGAAAACAGTCAACACTCAGACTCCAGATTTGAATATTGCAATCAGTGACCATGAAAGTAAACCACAAAAAAATAAACATGTTCAAAGGTGAATACACTTACGCCCATTTAGGATCTGGAGCGTTACAATCAGCACAAAACTGATTATCTTTTTGAAGCAATAAATCCTTCAATCTTCTTTTACCTGCAAGAGACCTGCCAATCATTCAACTTCACAAGAAAAATAAACGAAAATAACTTTGCATTCACAATTAGACATGGAAATAAGCAACATCAGATTTTCCTTACATGGACCTGGCCTGTTTTACAAACATAAAGCTTGAGTCCAGTCTATTATTATAAGACATGGCCTATTTTTCTTTTCTGCCTGGCCTAACCTAAAAGCAAGGCATATTTGTATTAAAGCTTTTAGAAAAGCCAACAGGCCTAGCCCTTGGTTTTCAAGATATATATTTTGAAAATGTTTTTGCAATGTTATACAGTTGATAAAATTAATAAACATATAAATATATATTGCCAATATGTAGGCTCTGGGCATAAAAAGATATAAGGCCCGAGGCTTAGCCAATTTAATTAAATAGGTTCCCTTTATTTCTATTTAATAGAAATTCTAAAGAATCTTAAATGCTTTGCTTAAAATCAAGCTCTGAGTCCAAACAATTGACAAGACCAAATATTCCCCAATAAAGCATGGTATAGAGACAGTTTCCATTTATTATTTGAAATCCTAGAAGAACTTACATGCACCAAAATAATAAAACAATAAAAAAGGCGACAATGATGACAAAAAAATGTAACCTAATTGAAATGATGGAAAAAATTTCTTGCTTTTAAGTCTTCCCTCAATGGTAGGGTGAAAAACACTCATCAGGGATCATGAAGTTTTTCAATAACTTCTAAAGAAACCAGACAAAAACTGTATGAATGCATAAGCCATCATAGGACCCAGCAGTCATTCAAATACCATAGCAGGATCAATCATTCCAACTAAGTAAAGTATTTCTTTCTTCTGTGTCAGCATTTCATTAAAAGAATATGGATAACAATCCAAAGTGAGTTATATATATTAAAAATGTTTTTTTTTTCGTTAAGAAGCTTCAAAGTTCAATAACACTATAAGTTCTAGTCTTTTTAAACTAGTGTCATTCTACATCAACAATTAAGTATTGATATTAACTTTTCAGTCTTACCCTTACTTATTCCTATCCTTAAGGTAGTAAGGGTAAATCAGTTAAATACATAAGAATCATAGCATACCTGAGAGAGGCCTCCCAAATTCCTTATCACTCATTGCCACCCTTGAAGTGAAGCAAGCAACCGTTCAACAAACTGCAACTCCAATAATAGCAGCCAAGCTAAACTACCTGAAAAGTAACAAAGAAATATCTGGTCATAGACTAACAAAACAAAAACCCCATGAAATCCTATAATTACAAGACTTTTCTGCAACAATAATCCTTTCCCCTCCAAAAAAGTTATAAATTAAAAAAGAACATTTGAATAGTTTATATGATCAATAGAATAACTCCATTTCAGATTATAGTCTAATTAATCTTTAAGGGAGCGGAGGTATTTCATCATCAAAATGATAATACCGTATGTGTGCTAAATAATGAACTTTTGTAAACTAGCATTAGATGTATGCATGCATGCAATATTTACGTGCATTATTCATTCATAATAAATAAACAAAAACAATAATGGGGGTATCCTCCATTTTCATTTTTCAAGTGATGAAATCTAAAAAAATAAGGTACTGGAATCACAATCTTTTCTCAGCAACCAAACCTTAAAATGTGAGATATCTTCGGTTGCCACAAATTGGAGAAGAACACAAAAACGCTCGTCAAAATGTAAGAAAATGTTGGATTTATGGGTTTTAGTAAAAATAAAAAAAATAAATAAATAAATTAATGTTGCCACAAATTGGAGAAGAACACAAAAACGCTCGTCAAACTGTCAGAAAATGTTGGATTTCTGGGTTTTAGTAAAAATAAAAACAATAAATAAATAAATTCATAGACTAATGTTTGCATTAAACGAATCTTCACCTGAGGGAAGGAAAAGAAAACGAACAAAAGAGAGAGAAACTAATAATTGCGTGTGTAAAGATAGATTACAGGGAAAAAGAAAATAGAATAAAAATAGCGGTGAATGAAGGAATTGAAAGAGATGAGTTTGAAATCCACAAGAGAGAATGAGATATAATATAAGGAAGATAGATACGTGGTGATATGTTTTTCATCATTTTATGTCAGAATTTGTTGGCACCAAAGTTAACTGCTTAATTTTTTATTTTAGTTATTTCCGTTAATGCATGTATAAAAATGATTCATTTTGCTTAATCACAATACCTTTTAACTATTCCTTGTCTGGATACGGAGTATATTAGTATGAAACGATGGCATTAATGACTTAAAATGAGATGGTATTAATGAAATATGAAAAAAAAATAGTAATTTATGCAGTGTAACTGTAAAGAGAGTTAATTTAAATTATTATCTAATAAAAATTATTAGGCTTTGCAATAATTATTATAAAAATCATATCTAAAATGATTAGCATAAAAGAATTACATTAACAAAGAATCAAAATTAAATTAAAAAAAAAAAATCTCCCCTGTGGAGATCTATTAACTTCTGTTTATTATATACTAATAATTAATGTCTTGAAATAAACGTGTGAGCATTTGAAGGATTTTATTTTTACCTATTTCCTTCTCTCATCTTGACCATTGACAAAATCTTTCCTTCTTGAATTTCTTCCTAGCCTTCTTCTATTCATTTTTAAAATTTCAAATGGTTTGATGAGAAGAAGGCACATGGCTAACAATATTATCACAATTGGCCACAAATGGTGTCAGAGACTCATTAACTAAATTCACAATTATTTTCTCTCAATCTTTCTTTCTTGATTATACAACCACTCTCTTCCTCTTCATTGATTTTCATGATCTTCCTTTATTGATTTTACAAGAATCCACTTCCTTTTCTTTGATTCTCATGATAGTGTGAGTGAACATAGTCACGTATCTTCTTCTTGTCATGTCCATATCACATTATGGTTAGAGTAAGAGGTCGTTGATTTGGGCTGAGGAATGAGAATGAGACTAAGCTTGAGAATGAAAGAAAGCGTGAGAAAGAGTGCGAATGTAAATTTAGAAGGAAAATTTGACGAAGTAGAATAATACATTGAAGACTGCACACGAAATATTCTGTTTTTTTTATTTATTGTTTTTTTATTTTTATTTTTATTTTTAACTTGGACTTATTATATATAGTGCTGACAAATAAAACCGGCTATAATAGGTTAAAAATATATATATGAAAAGAAGATGAACTTGTTATATATAGCAGTTATAAATTAAACTCTTGTAACAGCTATGATATATTATGCTATTTTTTCTTTTTCTATTTCTTTTCCCTCCTTTCACTCTATATGTTATATAATATATATTTTATTATATAAACAACAAAATATATAATAAATATAATATTATTTTATATAGTAATATATGTTATAAATTTTGCATTCAACATTTTATCTTATATATAATTATATTACCTCATTTCTTCCCCACCCAACCATTAGGTTTAATCTTCATTACAATTATTTTTGTAATCTTTTCTATCTTTATAAAAAAAATATGAATAAAAATATTTTTTTAATAATATAGTTAAAATTATATCTTTTTAATTTGAAAATTTTAAACAATTAAATTTAAACTTTTTTAAAAAATTAGATGTAATTTAATGAAATATAAATTTTGTTACTTGAATATAATTGATATCCTATTTTATTGGTAACTAATATCTTAGTCTATACAATGCACAAGGTAAATATTTATTATACGTAATTAAAATTTATAATAAATTATCTATACAAATAAATATTATGTTTGAATATATAAATTATATTTAACATTTGTATAAATAGATATTTGTAAACATATAATTATATTTTAGATTTATGATAAATGAATTATATTGTGACATAATATTATTTTTATTTATTGATAATTTATTTTAACCTATTAAAATTTAATTCATAAAATAATTATAATAAATAAAATACGAATTAGATAAAAAGTTTAAAAAAAATTTAAAAACTCTTTTATTGAAAAAAAGTCCTCTCACATTAGATAAAGATTCATGTTTATTATATAAAAGTTGATATAATAATATTATCTTATTTGTTTTTTTATATGCACCAAACATTGCATATGATTAAAATTTATCATGTTCTTATCATATTTAACTCTCATCCTATTCAATTATTCTACTCACATTCTTTCATATTTTTATCCTACAAAACTTTGAATGTGGTAAATAATTTTACTTCACAAGTGATTAAAAATAAATGAATATCATTGTATATAATTTTTCTAATATTATCTACTTATAAGATAAGTTAACTACTATTAAACATTTTAATAATCTCATGATAATATTTATCACTTGTAATGTAAAGTTGAGCATGTGTTGTTATCAATAACCTCTTTTCACTATTAACCACTTGTAACTTTTAGACATTTCAACAATCTCTTAAAATTATTATCATTTATCGATAATTTTATACAATTACGTTTGTTTATTCTTAATTACTTATGAATAAAATTAGTTATATTTATACTGCGTGGATGCGGAGAGGAGAAACATTGGATTTATGATACTCTTTCAATTATGTTGTTCACGCATGACAATTAAATCAAGCTTAAAAACAAACTAAAAAACCGATAAACATGAAATAGGAATTATGAAAATATTGGTTATATATGATGAATATATAAAGATATTCAAGTGCAGTTCATATGATGAACACTCTATCCTGTGATCCGTCCGAAAAGGTTATCCTCGCCAAAGTAAAGGGAAAAGGTTAAAACTAAAAAGTAAAAACCTATTTTCCCTCTTTATTTTCTCTTTGGCATTTGATCTTACTAAAAAACCCTCAAAAGGATGAAATCAATGTCAACTTTGTTTTAAAAGTAAACTTTCACAAACTATCATGCAATGTCGGGTTTTGTTTAAAGTCCTCCCTAGCACATGCTACTAAAAGCCATAACTCAGAGGGACAACGTTGTTCTCTTTTATTAGTATAGTGAATTCAGTCACTTACTGTTCTCAGAGATTTAAAGCTTTATTTTCCGCTTAAAAATGATATCAATATTTTCAATTAAGGCTTCTATAGGACCAAAAACTTTTGGGTCCTTTCTCTTTATAGCTGTGTGGACGTCAACTAGGATACTCATTTCATTTGCTGTAGCTACAATGTTGTTGTTCTGTACTCCACTTCCATAGTTCTACTTTACTAAGCTCTTAAATCTGTTTCAAAGATTTGATACTTGACGGTGCTCGTTTCTTCCTGAGCTACATTGTGCTAAATGAAGTGATTTTGGTAACAAAATTTTCTTTTTGCTTGGTCTGATATCTGGAAAGTGACTCATTATGACTAGCTGGTTTCAATTAATTAATGTTTATCCTACTTTCTTGCTGCAGTTAATGGTTGGTTCTGATGAAGGTTCACGGTATTTTTGGATCCTTTTGAGGGACAAGCAATCGCTTGGAGTTTCTGGTTTTCCTTTATTTGGTGATTTTGTTTATACTGTTTTTAGCTAGAGACGTTGCTGATCATGTGAAGCATTTGGAGTTTGTTTTTCCCTATATGGTTATGGATTTGCCATTATTACTGTACCTTTCTTCACTTCGTGAATGGTGGGTCATTCACGGTTTTGGCTTTTGAATAATGGCTGTGTGGGTCTTTAGTGTTGACTATATACTATAAATAGGTCCTTAACATTGCATGGTTTGAGGGGTGCCTAACTCTTCTTTTAAGCTTGAGCTTGCTTCTACTCTAGATTGGTGCTCTCTTTTAATATTCTAGCAAGGTGAGAGCTAGTTGCTATCCCTTTCAAAGCTCCTTATCAGTATTCACTTCAGGTTGAACTATATACATAAATATGAAGCTATTTAGCCTTTTAGTGGTGTTATTATCCTTCTTCTCCGTTATGGGTCAGCTTCCTTCACAGGACACTTTAGCATTGCTGGAATTCAAGAAAGGCATCAAGCATGACCCTACTGGTTATGTCCTTAGTTCCTGGAACGAGGAATCCGTTGACTTTGATGGATGCCCATCTACATGGAATGGAGTACTCTGTAATGGTGGTAATGTTGCTGGTGTTGTCCTTGATAACCTTGGTCTTTCTGCTGATGCCAATTTGGGTGTTTTCTTAAGCCTCACAAAGCTTGTAAAACTCTCTATATCCAACAATTCTATCTCGGGAAAACTTCCTGACAACATTGCTGAATTCAAAAGCCTCGAGTTTCTGGATGTATCCAATAATTTCTTTTTTTCATCCTTACCAATGGCAATTGGTAAACTAACTAGCTTGCAGAATCTGTCATTGGCTGGAAATAACTTCTCTGGCCCAATTCCTGACTCTATTTCAGGAATGGCTTCAATCCAATCTTTGGACTTGAGCCGTAATTCATTTTCTGGACAACTGCCAGCATCATTGACTAAGCTGACTAACCTGGTATTACTTAATTTATCTCATAATGGCTTCACTGGTAAAATTCCCAAAGGTTTTGAGCTGATCTTTTCTCTGGAGAAGCTTGACTTGCATGGGAATATGTTTGATGGTCCTTTAGATGATGAATTTATACTTTTTTCAAGTGCCAGCTACGTTGATTTTAGTGAGAATATGCTAGTGAGTTCTAGTTCTCAGCAGCATACGTTTCTGCCACAAATTTCTGAAAGTATTAAGTATCTGAATCTAAGCTACAACCGGCTAACTGGATCATTGGTTAGTGGAGGTGATCAACCAGGTTTTGAATACTTGAAGGTGTTGGACCTCAGTTACAATCAATTATCTGGAGAATTATCTGAATTTGATTTTGTTTATGAACTAATGGTCCTTAAGCTCAGCAACAACAGATTTTCAGGATTTGTACCCTCTGGTCCTCTTAAAGGAGACTCTTTGGTTTTGACTGAACTGGATTTGAGTGGCAACAATCTATCAGGTAGGAATGGAACTTCCAAATTTTGTTTCTTCTTTAAATAAAGATCATATATTATTTTTCTTGGGGAATAGTTGGTGCTTTCTGATATCTTTTTATCAGTCATTTGCTTGAATTGCTATTCATCAAATATTTAAATTGTTTTTCAGGGCCAATAAGTATAATTACATCAACAACATTGCACACACTTAATCTCTCATCCAATGAGTTCACTGGTGAGCTGCCATTGCTGACCGGAAGTTGTGCTGTTCTTGATTTGTCAAATAACAAATTAGAAGGAAATTTAACCAGGGTGATGAAATGGGGGAATATTGAGTTTCTTGATCTCAGTAGGAATCACTTGACAGGATCCATCCCTGAGGTAACTCCTCAGTTTTTGCGATTAAATTATCTGAATCTTTCCCATAACTTTCTTAGTAGATCCCTCCCAAGAGTCTTAACACAATATCCACAGCTTAAAATGCTCGATGTTAGTTCCAACCAGTTAGATGGAAAATTTCTAGATGATTTGCTGATAATGCTCACTTTACAAGAGCTCCATCTTGAAAATAATATGATTTCTGGCAACATTAATTTATCATCATTTTCTCCTCGTCCCTCTGATATTCAGATTCTTGATCTTTCTAATAACCAGTTTAATGGTTATTTTCCT